AAATTGAAAAAAAAAATTAATTCACTAAAATAAAAAACAAGCAATTGGAAAAAATAGGCAACTTATCTTTTTGAGATAACACTCAATCTTTGTTCAAATTCGAGTACTTTCAAAGGTACAATGAGACAAAAACAAATTAACCTTTAACATTATCTTCGATTTGTCATCGGAACGATCATCATGAGACCTCCATCTGAAACGTGCTGATGCCCACCACAGCCCACCTCTCATCATTCTGTAGACATTTTTTAATAGCGTATTAGTAAATCAAGGAACAAAGGAACGATCGAATAAATGATTAACTGAATGATTGAATAATTGGTTGAATGAATGAGTGAATGAATTAATCAATTAATAAATAGAATGAATTAACGAATCAATTAATAGAAGAATAATTTGAAAGGTTGAGTGATAAAATGAACGAATGAGAAAAATAAAAAACGAAACTAAACCTTACTTCAAAAATCGTCGTTACTGTACTTTCTATTGCACCGACCACCACCATCTGGTCGGCACACAAAATACCATCCGAACTTCAGAGTGTCAGTCAAACAGCCAACGAGCTGATTCTTCCTACACCACCATCATCATATGTAAATCATCATGAGACCACCATCTAAAACGTGCTGACTCCCACCACTGCCCACCTCTCATCATTCTGTAAACAAAATTTTTTTATTTGCGTAGTAGTAAATGAATGTTAGAATCTTAGAAGCAAAAAAAATTAAATTATAAAATAAAAATAATGTCAAATAAATAAAATTTTAAAATAATAAAGTAAGTAAAATGTAAAAAAAACTTACCGTCGTCCATTCGACAAAGGCAGAATGTTGAATGCGGTCCGGTTCCTACGTTGTCCTCCAATACTGGTGCCAGTCCTCCTCGAGGTTGTTGTTGAAACACAGCCCGTGTCGATGGAGAAAGATAGAGAAAGAGTAGATTCTCATCAGAAAGCTTAGCGGTGCCTGCATCTCAAATTGCTTAATAAAAATAATCATATCTACCTATTCAATTACCTTAACTAATCTATATTAAATTGTTAATGGTACGATAGTCGAAAGTCCCCTTTCATTCTTCCTCCTTGCACAGAGGTTCACCGACAGCCAGGGCACCGGATAGAAAACCGTTGCCGTGCGGATAGTAGACTATTGCCGTGCGGATAGTAAACCATTTGCCGTCCGGAAGCCGTGCGGGTAGTAGACTATGGCCGTGCCGCATGGTAAATCATTACCGTGCAGATAGTAAACCATTGCCGTCCGGATAGTAAACCATTGCCGGTACACCACTGGCCACCAAGGCTTACCTCTGACAACAGACTTCGAAATTCAGAGTCTATCGGCTATCGTGCCATCTATATAACTCTATATAACTCTATATAACTCTATATAACTCTATATAACTCTATATAACTCTATATAACTCTATATAACTCTATATAACTCTATATAACTCTATATAACTCTATATAACTCTATATAACTCTATATAACTCTATATAACTCTATATAACTCTATATAACTCTATATAACTCTATATAACTCTATATAACTCTATATAACTCTATATAACTCTATATAACTCTATATAACTCTATATAACTCTATATAACTCTATATAACTCTATATAACTCTATATAACTCTATATAACTCTATATAACTCTATATAACTCTATATAACCATGCATACTATCACATTCAATCAATAAAAATCCCACTAAAACCAGGAACCACCGCGTACCTGCTGAATGTATGATGTGAAACAAAACAAAAAAAAACACAAAACAAAAATCACGCCACCAAGTAGTAAAAGAATAGGAGTCCCTAACCTACCTATGTAACTAAATTACCTTATGCCCTAGCCTACCTATATAATAAATTAATTTTTACCTCACCTACCTATGCTTCATTAACTTAACTCAAGACTCATGAAGAAAGAGAAAAAGGAATAAAACAGAACATAAAATACTACCACACAAACAAACATGATGTATGTATGTATGTATGAGCAACCGTTAAAGAACCCACCTAAAATTAAAAAAATACCACCTACAAACATTCAAACCACCTACAAACATTCAAACCACCTACAAACATGCAAACTCTATATAACACTATATAACTCTATATAACTCTATATAATAAAATAAATAAAAATAAAAAAAATTTAAAAATAAAATAAATGAGATCAGACAGACTGCTTCAAGCGAGGCAGAATGCTGATCTGATTTTCATGTTGTCTCAGCTCCTCTATTTATACTCGTTTCAACCATACATTCTCATCATTTCAATCATTCGCATCAGTAAAAAACTTGTTTAATGTATATACTGCACTATTTTACAGTCTTAACCACAATGCTAACCGTACTAAATTGAAGTCATCGAACGAACGCCTTCGAAACTTTCTGGTTGGCTGGTTGAATCTGCTATATTGCTTTTCATATAAACATATAATCTAATATAATATAATTTAATTATTTGTATACATGGATTCCAGTCACTTTATATATATATATATAATAAAAATTCATTATAAAAGCAACAGTAATCAGTGCTATACATGTAAGCACGCAGTTCAAATTTTTCGGGGAGAATTCAAAATTGTTTGAGACCACACCTTGCTTAACATCCGATTCCAAGCCGAGCCAAGCCGAGCTGAGCCAATATGCATAGATTTATGAGCGCTTTTATGTTAATATTTTGCTCGCTATATTTATATATTTTATAAATTCATTATAAAAAACAACAGTAGCCATTACTATATATGTACGCACGCAGTTCAAATTTTTCGGGGAGAATTCAAAATAGTTTGAGACCACACCTTGCTTAACATCCGATTCCAAGCTGAGCCAAGCCAAGCTGAGCCAATATGCATAGATTTATGAGCGCTTTTATGTTAAAATTTTGCTCGCTATATTTATATATTTTATAAATTCATTATAAAAACAACAGTAATCATTGCTATATATGTACGCACGCAGTTCAAATTTTTCGGGGAGAATTCAAAATAGTTTAAGACCACACCTTGCTAAACATCCGATTCCAAGCCGAGCCAAGCCAAGCTGAGCCAATATGCATAGATTTATAAGCGCTTTTATATTAAAATTTTGCTCGCTTTTTAAACGAATATCCCAATATAACAAATTCTCCATTCTATTTTAACTTTCTTTGATGCTTTTTAATCAGTCAGGTTACAAAAATCATTATTGATATCACAATGAAATCGATTTGAAATTTTTTTTTAATTATTGACAATATCCCTATACTCATTGAATAGAACTATTTTGTTTTACAATTACATATATTTTATTTTATAGACTATTATAATTTATAATGCTATCATGGATTACCATTTTATTATTAAAAGCAATACTTAAGAAATGCACAAGTTTCTGTAACAGTTCATAAAATTTCAGATTTCCTCAAAATGTAAAAATGCAAAACGATTGGATTAAGTGCATCAGACAGGAAATAAATGATTTCAAATGGCTTCCATCAAAAAATGCAAGAATATGCAGTGATCATTTCTGTAATAAAGATTATAAGGGTTATGATGGAGAATGGAAGGTAATGCTGAAGAAAGCATTCCCATGTTTTCAAGTTAGTTATATTTATATGTCATCAGTTACACAAGGAAGCAATTCACATCACCATTGTACATTGCAACATTCTTATCTATACAAAAAATATAAAATGCATTCACCAATATTCCATGTATTTTATCAAAACTTAGAAAGGGCATAATGACATTGTGAATAATAAACCCTGCTTAGAACTGGGATCATCATCATCATACCAATCACCATTACAGAGTCAATTTTATATTAATGCTTAACAAGTTAACTAAATTGGCATAATCAAGTTTTTATATGAAATACACATCAAGTATTTAATGTAACAAATAAATTAACAGAAAAATTTCTGGAAAAGTTTAAAAAAATTAGAACATATGACTCTGATCAAAAATCATTCGCGTTGACACTGCATTTGTACGGGCATAAAATGTATAATAAATTAAAAGTACAATTTTTACAAACCTCATTGGTTATGGCAATGGGGATTCTTTAAAACTGAATGATCATGATCTAACAAGTCATGGATTGATGAATCACTGGAATCACGCATTATCTTTAATAAATTTATCAACAACATGTACTACAATTTAAGAATGAGGAATATTTTGTAAAACATTAAATGAAAAAATATTTAGTTTGAATCACTCATAATTAATAAATTTTAATTAAATTACAAGTTAGCTTGGGGAGTTTGAAGCTTGAATTGAACAAATTACAAAATTGTTTATTTTATAAAATTGATTGATAAGTTGTTTGATATATTTATTTAATTTAGTATATTTTTTATTCCCAGACCTAAGCATTGTAAATAAAAATTTTAAAACCAATCAAGCAATAGAATTTAGGATCTTAGGAACAAGTGCTGTTAACTGTAGTGGTTGGTAGTTTCTAGTAGTCTAATCTGTTAATGTTCGTTAGTGTTATGTTATTTATTTCAATTAGTAATTAGAATCAGTAGAGTTTAGTTTTAGCTTAATTATTAGAGTTTAGTAATTTAATTACTAATTAGTCGTCGTTTAGTGTTGTTACAGTTAATGAGTTAAGTGTTGTTGGTGATTCACAAAAAATTTTTTTTATTTCAAATGCAAAAAGATACTTAACCGTCGTACAGCAATATCTATCCTAAAACAGCATCTAGTACCTTTCAAAACATTTTGAAATTTTAAATAGAAGCAATATTCCGAAATTAGTAAATATACGATCGTAACTTTTGACTTGGACGATAAAAAATCACCCTCCAATTTCCCTCCGGAAGTAAGCTTCTTGTTCGACCGTCAAAAATAAGCGAAGGCCGTTATATTTATTCTAATTGTATGTGTGGTTTAATGTTATTAAATGTTGAAGGTCTTTGGCAACTAAAAGTAAACTTAACTTTCGTATATTCAAAATTCAAAAAAATAATTTTCTTAGAGTACGGAATGATGAGATGGAGGTAGATAATTCTGTTCAGGAAGATGGTGAAGATTGGCAAGTGGAATGTAGTGATGATGAAAAGTATGAAATCGGTCCAAGCGATATAATAAATGTTTTTAATTTACTAAATGAAGGAAAGTATGAATTTGACTGCAAACTAACTCGAAAGGAAGAAACTGAGAAAAAGTCTGTTGTTCGTGAAGTTGCTCTGGAGAAGAATGGCGTCGAAGTTGATGGAGATTCAGTTAAAGTTAAAACCTCTGCAACTAAATCACCAGAAGTCACAGTCCAAAAAGAAATGTAATTTTCAATTAACAATTAATGATTTTTTTATTTTTATTTAAATTTTAAAATGTAATAATTAAAATTTAATAAAAATATTATATTATTAAAATCTCTATTTATTTATTTTATTTGTTTCACTAAATTTCTTATCAGGAGCATAGCAGATGAATTCGATTTGGATAGTGCAAATGAGTCAAAAGAAATATTGGCACCACGAAGAACCATTGGTTTGAAACATTTTAGATTTCACTTATTGATTTTTTGAAAGCATTTTATGGTTATGAATTAATTCATTTATTTATACAATATTTTTCATCACAGGATCAGCTAAGGCCCTCCGAACTACAGAGAAAAAAGTTGCTCAATGGGATAAAATTATGAATGACTTTTTGAAAACTCAAAAACAATAAGAGAAATAACACACACACACACACACACACACATATATATATATATATATATATATATGCATCTTTATTCAATTAAATTTTTGTAAACAAATTTTTTCATGTTTGGTTAACTTTAGCTTTTTTTGATGATGAAACAGTTTATTTATTATTTTCAAGTTCTTTAATGTTTCCTAATCTTTTGTTTTCATTAATGATTAATAATGATGTCAGAATGTTTTCATTATTGTTTCTAATAATGAAGGGGCCATCAAGAATCATGTTTCCGCTTTTAACAATACACCTTGTTGATATTGCAAAGTTTTGCCAGTCACTACAATGCTATGATAGTAATAATTTAGCATGTGATTACAACTTAGTTGAATGCACTAAGAACAAACCTGTTTGCACACTTCTTTCCGTTAACAAGGGTTAATTCTACATTTTATCAAATTCGCGTAATTAGATAAATACTCAAAAAATGAATAAGTACAAATCGAGACTTAGTAAGATAACGATGTATGTAACTGAACTGCACAGGTAGGTTCGTTGCTGCTTGTTCAGATTACGATGAAGCAAAGCAGAAAGCTCGCCAAAGTACGGACAGTGGCTTGTTCATATGCAGAGAAGACAAATGCAACAGTAAAGAAAAAGCTGCACGGCTTTCATCAAAACATGACCAAAGCCATCAACCTGGTAAGATCTGTAAGATTTTGTCGCTTTCTTATGTATACTAATTCATTTTTTTAATAAATTGATTTGTGTAAGAATGCAATTATTATAACATTGTGAAGGGCTCTTTCGTGGGAAGAAAGGTAGGAACAAAAGAATGATTAGAAATTCCCCTGGCGACAAAACCGTGGAGACAGGTGACAATTCAAAAGCTAAAGATGGTGTTCAACCAGATGCGAAAGATGTCGACCAATCAAAAGCTAAAGAAGGGTACGTGGAATACGAAGAGCCAATATTGGTAGAAGCAAGGAAAAGAATGAAAAGAAACGAAACGATAAATGCTCAGTTTGTTTCCACAACGGAATCAGATGAATATGACGAAAGTGAGAGCACCATGGCCACCAATAGAAAAATCCCAGATGTAAAAGTTGAATTCGTGGACTACGTGGAAGAGAATGGGCAGGAAATTTTGAAAGGACATTTGTTGCTGCACCTGTTTGGTATTTTGTTGCCTCAATTTCATCTCCTTCAGTGAACAATAAATTCTTTAATTGAAAATTTCAAGAATAAATACGAGTTCTTTAATTCTGTAACGTATAAAAAAATTGAAAAAGTAGTTAAGTCAAAATAATTGTCAGTTTTATAAACACACAAGCATTAGGAACATTTAGAGCAAGTGCAAAGATACTTTAGTACGTCTTAACAATTGTAGCAGATGCAAACAGGCTACGATGAACAAACCTTTAAGAAAAAATTTATCATCTAACTGACCTCAGTACGTCACTAATTGAGTGACCTCAACTTAGTAATTAATCTGTCGCTGATGATCTAATAAGAGGTTCGTTAAGACGACACAAAACTATTCCGAAAGATGCCGCGACACACGCGTCCACAACTGAGAACCGCTAATATAGTAGCCATCATCAGTTAAATTTATTATAATTCAATGACTTAAAAAAAGAATAAGATTAATTAACGCATTGCTGAATCATTAATTAAATAATTAATAATAATTAAAAAAACATGATCAATCATCGAATCGATAATATATGTAACTGAACGTTACAGCATGCACCTCAAACATACGAATAAAGTACGCGTGCACAAAATGTGTACATAACATGTACATCCACGCGCCGACAAGACGAACGGACAAATTAACCATGCATATCGTCGGTCAATGTTTAGAAAAAGCATAATAGACAAACGTACAAAAAAAGAACAATTCATAAATGGATGAATGAAAAAATGAATGAAAGAATGAATAAAATGAAATGGCGAATGATTGAGTAAACGGATGAGTAATCTATTTACATAATGATCACAATCATTTATAGTTTTTCAACATTTAGACGATCGAACTTTCTTCATAAAATGTAAAAATTTTCAAAGTAAATCCTAGAATAAAGCTGTTGCCATACGTAGTGTAACAGTTAAATGCATCTTAATGATGGAAGTTAACAGACGACTTCATCGGCATATATCCAATCTACCATACATGGGCCTGCCTAGTAACTTATGAATCAAATTTATAAACACAAAAATTAGGACAAATTACCAGCTATTAAATTAAGTTGTGCTATGCCTCCCAAAATGTTTCAATCTAACACAGACACACACAAACTCACATATGTACACGTACAAATATATACAGACATGTACAACGGTAATATAGATGCACAAATAAGCGGATGATGCGACAACAATCTACTTCCGAATGATGTATAAAACTGTACCAGCTCTGCAAACACACACACACACACCACACATACAAATAAACACACACACATACAAACAAAAACGCACTCGTTTTTTCAACGAAACGCATTACAAAGTTATTTTCGTCACCAACCGCATTCGGCACAATTATCTAATTATTAAATTAATTACACGTCTTATATAACATTAATTAAACAATAAATAAGACTAATACAGAACGACAATTGACGCACAAAACCCACGCACTGCATTAGAATATGCTAATTCACCTATCAATTAGTTGTTGAATGAGTTTTCTAAATTATACAACAGAAATATGGTGCAATTAGCCTTACATAAAATTCATTGTAAAATAACGATCATAATTATAACAATAATAATAGTAATAATAACAACAATAATAACAACAATAATTATCGGAAAGAAAATAATTATACAAAAAATAATGCTAATGATTGCCTATACTTTGCTTGTTTTATAGCAGGCAAGTCATCTATGCACAAATGCAATTAATTAAAATGACTACCAACAAATAATTAAACAAAATAATAATGTAACCAGTTAAACAACAAAAAAAGTGTTTAATTAATTAGTTAAATTAACTAATCAAATGGTAAAAGAATGTCCATTTTGAATTTGTAAAAAGATTAATATTATTATAAGTAATAACGATGTAATAACAATGTTACCTTGTAAGGGAACAAATGAATGAGTGAAATGAAAAAAATATGCATAATTAAATAAAATTCTATTGTAATATTATTATTATAATAACTAATATAATTATTTATCTTTGGCATTGTATATGTAAAGATTATTGGTAGCTGCGATGGCGACCACACTGTCTGCAGGATGCCAGGCAGCGTGGAGAATCTTTTTGTTGAAATCAAGTGATTCAACAGCCACCTCGTCCCTCTTTCTTCGTGGACATCCGGCACTCGAGCTTCCTGCTGCACCACCGGTACTGGAAAAAACCTGAAAAAGAAATACATATAATGTTTCCACGTTATGAGTAATTTGTCGGTTAGTTGATTGATGTGAGACTTATGATGATAGGAATTGAAATTACCATACATTTTATTGGTTAATATGAACGTTCCATTTGTGGGGATCAATGTTAAAAAGAAATGTTATTTTGGTTATAAAAAAAAAATCCTCCAAAAAAAATTTTACCAGTACAAAAAGTTTCAATGAATAAAAACAGAAACAACATGAAAGTGAAACATCAGCTTCTACCTTTTTGGGTTTGAGCATGACTCCATAGGTGGATTGCTGTTGTTTCTGGACATCCCTGGATGCCTCAAAGGTCAAGTCTTTGTGGCTGCCTTCCCTGTCAAAAATCCTGAAGAAGTTGTTGTAGGAGCCTGTCAGCAACCATCTGCAATGAGATGTTCATTAGGAAACTAATTATTATCATCTGTCCTCAATTCAATGTGAGTTGTTTTGTGATTTAAACCACTTGAAATGTTATGAGGAAATTATCTTACTGAAACGGACAGCAAATAAATTAAACAAGCAGCAGTGATGATGAAAAAGACTGCTACGAAGTCAATAATGGCAATAGTGTTGAGAAATGTGAAGACGTTTAACTTGATGATGAAAATGAGAGAATTGATTAATTGATTGTAACCTGTCATCTGGACTCCAACAAGCTTCAAATTTATCAAATATGCAGTCATTTTCATAGAGGGCACAGAGTTTTGCTCGCAAATAATCATGAACCTGGTAGGTCTCCACAGGTCGCGATTCATTTCTAAGGTCCCAAACCTGTTTCAATTGTTATATAATGTCAGTTGTACATATTAATTATAAGCAATGGTTGATGTTTTTAAAATGTAGTTTTTTTTAAATATACAACAATTTGAATAAAGAGGACGCATGTTCAGTACTATTATGAGTACTAATCAAGGTGTGTTAATCAAGGTCTGTTATGTTTGCAGTTTAAGCGAATTTATTTTCAAATCATCTACTTTTCAATTTGGAGATTAGGAAGAAAGCTGGAGAACGAATGCTCAGTTGGCAGGTACACTTAGTTGATCACTAGATAACTACATGACTTGTGTATGTAATATGCTGAAAAACTAACAGCTTCAGCATCGAACAAAAAAAAAAAACAAATTAAAAGTGATGGTTACACATACAAGAAGGTCAGACATAAAAAGATATGAACAATGTTGATTCAAAAATGATAATGGCATGGAAGTTGATGTTGCATGAGGAAGGTTTACAGGCCCTACATACAACAACAACAACACACGTTTAGACGACATTTTCCCTGAGATCGGGGGTTGCTACCTATGATGAAACCGAAATACCCCTCGACGCCATCCACATCTGTCACTCGCCTCAGTATCTCGCAACCCCGCTTTCACCCTGTCCTTCTCTACCTACTCTCTCCATCCCAATCGCGGACGACCCCTTCCTACCACTTCTTCAACCTCGAACTCCAACGCTCGCCTAATCCCGACCCTTTCATCCCTTCTCAACACATGTCCATATCATCGCAATCTCGATCTCCTTATCAATGTCACAATGTCCTCATTCAGTCCCATCATTGACATCAGCTCTGTACTACTCCTCCTATCCTTCACTTTAACCCCACACATCATCCTCACCATAGCTCTTCCAGCCCTCTGCAGTACACTTTCCTCCTCTCTCCTCAACACCCAAGTTTCACCACTATATACCATCGCTGCTCTCACACATGCTTTATATACCCTCCCTTTCATCTTCACTGACCATTTCTTTCCACACAATACCCCACCCAGTTCCCTAAATTTCATCCATCCGTAACTGCACTCAAACATCTTCCATCCGCATTCAGCTTATCCCCTAAGTAAACAAAGCTTTCCACTCTTTCAATACCACCACTCAACCCCGTCCTTGCGTCCGTCCTATTAATCACACCATGAACACATTTCTTACATTTGAACGTGCCTTCCACCTTTTTCAGTGCCCCCCTCACACCACTACATCTCTTATGCACCCATTTCTGACATCCTATACACAATACCGAGTTAGCCTTCACTCTCCTGTCACAGGGAGTTAGCCTTCACTCTCCTGTTTACAGGCTCTACATACAATGGAATAATAATTAAAGGTGATAATGAACAAGAGACCTTGACAGTGAGATAGTCCCTCGTGACCATGTTGTTGCCACTACGACTGAACTTGACATCTGATATACTTGAAATTATTTCAGAGAAGAAACTCCTGTTGGCTGGATCCTCTGGCTCTTCATACACTGCAAACATGAGAAACAAAGTGTTGATGTAAAAATAATTTACATTGCAAATGTAGTCTGCAGTCCAGAGTAACAAATATATGGATACATATAATAATTTATATAAATAATCATCGAACTGTGATTTATGCAACTAACGCTTGGCATGTTGGTCACAGAGTGCCTGTGACCTAAGGTCACACAATCTCAATGTTCCCTTGCTGCTACTGTACACAAGAATGTTGCATTCCATGGGGTGGAAACATGCTGTTGTGATGACTTCTGTCAGTTCTTCCATGTTTGCTGGCTTTATATCCACAATATCTTAATGTGGTTTTGAAGGATATTTAATCAGGATTAAGCAGATAAATAGTACAAATTTATGAATTCATTTATAAATTCAAGTAGAAAGAAATAAAATGAAATAATTAACCAAAAAAAACTGTAAATCAACTGATTAATTTAAAAAGTTTAAAAGTGAACTAAAATACAAGTTGATTGAAAAAATAGAGAAGAAGATGAAAAATATTAACTGAAGCTCTGGTTTGTAATGCCTAGATGCCACAAATTGATTCTCAAGTCATCAGCTGACACGAATGTCTCCTGGTCACTGTTCACCGAAATTGAGTTAATGTGGTATGCATGTGCATTTGCATACACCCTTCGTGGATTGGCCTCCACCGTCATTGTGGGTATATTCCTAAAAACAGGAACATGCAATGTCGTAATAGTTGAGGGGTCTTTCAGTTCGCCCTGTTCATCTTTTAAATTCAGCTCACCTTCTGGCTGTTTGCGACGTTCGGATACTTTCCAGAGTTTAATCGTTTTATCTAAAATAGTTTTCATAATTATTATAGCATTTTAAAATATCAAAATGATATTTAAAGGTGAGAGATTTAAAAAAAAAGAATAACTCACCATTTGTAGATAAGAGATAATGTGCTGGATTGGAATGTTGGAGCCATTGAATTTTATTAATTTTTTCTTCAATTTCAAGACTTTTTAAATAGTCAAATTCTGGTTCATGGCTTTGAAAAGTTGTATAGACGTTATATTCTGCTAACTTGTCTTCACTATTCTTTGTCTGAGAAAAAAATATAAAATCACACCAAATAAAAGACACGGAATATCTCAATTATGAAAAAATATGATGTATGTTAGGTAGAGAAATGGCAAAAAAAAGTAGAACCAACTTCTGGGTCCCGTTGAAAAATGACAACACGCCCACCCTTGTCACCAGTGGCCAGTAACTCACCATCTCTGTTGAACTCAACACAGGAAATGACATCGGCTGCATAAACACAATTAATTATTAATTCAATTTTGACGTAGCATGATGAAGCAATAGAGCAAACACCAAACAATAATTTTAAACTTTCAATATAAACTTCATTTACATTAAAAATTTATTAAAATTAATTGATATAAAAATGTAATAAATAGCTATAATATTTTTATAATTTTAGTATTATATTACACGACTTGCAATTATAATAAAAATTTAAATTACTTGCAATAAAATATATATATATATATATATATATACATATATATGATACACATACCAACACATACACCAACACATACACCAACACACACACACAGACATGCATTTACAAACTGACCTTCAGCAATTTCCTCATCAGCTGTGCCTTTGACTTGCGAGAAGTACCAATGCTGATCCCCGCTGCCTGCTGTCAGTGCATGCAAATAACAATTTTTTAACAAAAAATCCTAATTACTAGCTGGACGAATTTACATCCGTAATGCGTCCGTTTGCAAAAAAACGTTAATTCACTAATGCAAATAAATGTAATAAAATGGAGTTGGATTGCAATGGATATTTAACGCTCGTTACGCCGTTCGTTTTCATAAAAAAACTTTGAAGCTTATTTTTTCGATAATTTATTTATTTATAGGAACAAATGATTCGGACTAGAAATTGACCAATCGTGCTTCAACCGATAAAATAAACTTTCAACGTTCAGAAAGATAAAAAATAAACTTACACGCCATGAAGATACTTTTTTTCAAAAAATTTAATTCTTCAGTTGACAGAAAATGAAGATCATTTAGTCAAGCTACGGAGATTAAAAGCCGACGATAAAAGAGAATTTACAAGGAAATCGACGATTATTCATTTTTACGGCCGTACAGCAAAATAACATACATTGGAGATAAATTGTGAAGCGCATCATTTTAAAAATTATTCTAATCAACGCAAAACTTGAACCGTTTAAACGGCTTCAACGCCGAAACGACAAGACCAAATAACAAACTATTACTTTATTATTCAATCGAAAAAACCAAGAATCCACCACAAAACTTTGAATATAAATGAATAAAACATAAATGGATTCAAATAGAGATTAGACACATGCAGTGAGTACTTTGAAGATGAACTGGATCCCGTAACCATATGATATATATATATATATATATATATATATATATATATATATATATATATATATCATATATATATATATATACAATAAACTAGAAATAACATTTAGTGAAAGTTGAACATGTTAAATGATTGATTCATCCATTCAATGTTATTCACTAGGATTCTGAATGACAATAAGCATGTAATCTTTATCTGAAATAATTTAAAATTAACTAATTACATAAACAGAAAAGAAGTTTACAAAAATTATTATCAAATTATACTATCACTATAAAAATTGTAAAAAAAATTTTAAGATACAAATAAATGAAGCATGTTGAACCTGGAGCAATCATGATCTCATGTTTCTTTGATCTGACTCTGAGAAAGGTTAAATCATTCTGTGGATCAGTGTCTCGAACACAATTACGAGCATTAGCCACCAAACTATGAAGCAGACTAGCATATTGAACTGTTGTTGCATTGTCCATTGTAGTCCTCACTGGAATGCCTAGGATTGAATACATGTTAAACTGAAATTTCGATGCAGACACAATAATGAGATACATCTTTATTTATTTTTATTTGTGTTATTTAAGCTGTGAGTTTTACTTTCCAATGTTATCCATATGTTTTGTTTGTTGAATTGACTTAATATTGATTATAAATAAATATAAAGCTCAAAAGATTCACTGCATTCAATTATAAATTAAATTTTTTCTGCAAAAAGCTACCATCCATGTTTAATCTGCTGATCTTGATAGAATAGACAATAAAGATTCTTCGATTCTCAATTTTTGTAAATAATAAAAGAAAATAACATTATAATTATATTTAATAAATATTATTAATTAAAATTAAAGTTAATCAGTTCAGCTTTTAATATCTCAGCCAACTATAATACCTTCACTGTTGATGACAATTAGACCAATGACACCTTTCTGGCTTTGCAATCTCTTCAAGGTTTCTTCAATTTCTGCCTAATTTGTGATTTTCCATTTTAGCCATTTTAGGAAAAAAAACGAAGAACACAAAATAAGGCGTATTTAGTGTGAAATTAAAATAATTAAATTTAAAATAAAAAATTACCATAATCGAGGTTTATGAAAATTTTAAAAAGGGAATGAAACAAATTTTATTTAAAATCAGAAATTTGAACGAATAAAATAAGTTGCTAAGCGATGACTGCGCATGTATTACAATGTTGTTAAAACGTTATGTAAGTTAGAAATTAATGAATGCCATTCATCATTAATTTATTAATGAAAATATTGTTGGAAAATGTTAAAAATAAACATTAATTTATTTAATGGATGTTTGTTATAAAATATTTTTAAACATTTTCAATAATTTCAATAGAATGAATAGATACCTGTTTTTACGTGGTTGCTTAGCATTAAATGAGATATGCCGTTGTCATGGTTTTAAATAAATTAAACTTATTTCGTTTAGATTTCAGATAATTAGAATTATAAATGGTGTGAACGCTCACGAAAGTTTATTTACATTTGCTGAAATAAAATGTTTGCACGATATTATGATAACGATCACGAAATTAAACCGAAATATTCTACTCAAGTTCTTATTGGAAATTGGTATGAAGATCGTTTTCACGTAAGTTGCCTTCCGGATGAAATGGCTTTGCTCATATTTTAGTGGTATAGTTCCAGTTTGCAAAATAGTTGAAATACGATGAATCATTACATTGGTTTCTCAACTAATTTCACATATTATGTGCTAATGTTAATATAGTTAATGATTGTTCGTTAACAATTGCAGTTGAACAGTTTTTTCATTACAAAATATTTTCAGCCTGATAGAAATCTTCCTATTCCAGTAAAAATTGAAAATGATGGTTTTAGAAGGTACGATAGCAGTTCAGGAAATTTTGTCGTCATCCCACACAAAGCAATACATCCTCTTGATTCGACATTGAAAACGTCAGCAGGAACATCAAAAGATATATTAAAACCACCTCCAGTTATCAAACAAGGTTGTACCACAAATGTTTTCATTAATTTCAACATGTTTATATCCCACATTATATTCTATAACCAGATAACCATACAAAACGAGCGACATTAAAAGACATATCAGATGTAAATAAACAAATTTGGCGAGAGAAGAACCTACTAGAATCAGGCAGATCGACGACTTACCGACGAGATTTCAGGGTGTGGCCAGGGATACCTCGATGGATGTCAGAAGCCAACATTTCAGACAGGGTTGATAGGTTGGGGGATAGAACAAATAGGCAGAATCATTCCCACCTAGCTACATACGTGCCTCCAACTGATGTTCCTAGATTAGTTGCTATGTAGGTAGGCAGATTGCAGGGTGGCTATTTCGTAAAATTATGATGATTTTGGAGTTACTTTGGTTACATTTTGTTACATATTTATGATTCCGTACATTATATAACGATCAGTTGAGTGATTGATTGATTGATTAATTGGTTAACTGATTAATTGATTAATTGATTAATTTTACTTGATTTTATTGTGCTTTTTTCATTTTCCTCGATTCGTTTTTAATTTTTTAACGTTTTATTAAAATCTTAAAAACATTTTTCATTTGGTTATTAAAAACTTAAAAACATTTTTCATTTGGTTGAAAAAATTTTATTTTGAAAAAAATTACTAATTGAAAATATAGAATGCTTCTTCATTTTGCGGATATATAGAAAGATTCACTAATTTGATACCTAAACTGAATTGATTTAATAGTTATATTTCAAACTCCCTTCAAAGCGCATACACACAGATATATTACTTATATCATATTATTACTCCATATAATATTTATTGATATATAGATTCAGAAAATTAATAACAAAAGTAAAAAAAAGATGACGAATGCATATTTACAATGTAACAAATGAGAAATTACGTGAAATGAAAAGAATCAACTTATATAAAAATATTAACGTCTATTGTTTCATGTTAAATTTTTTTATTTATTTTTTTTTGAAAATAAACGAATAAAAATAAGGTAAATAAACAAACAAATGAATAAATTAATAAATAATACTTCATAAAAAAATTTCAAAATATTTACCATTAGTAACAACAATTTATCATTCAATATGAAAATATAGGAAATATGTACAAGTAGAGACATTTCAATTTTTCAACAATATACAAATACATATATAACGTTGAATTTAATTGAATAAAAGTTTATTATATATCTAGCGTTATTGACAAATAGGCTTTTGTTACATATATAATATATTTATACGTAATAAAATTTAGCTATAATTAATTAATTATATATATATAATATATAGGATTGCTAAATGTATAATGGAGAAAATTGAATAAAATATTATACAAAAAAGTTATTAGCGGTGGGTGCGTCTAAATTAATTTGTTGTGGTAGCGGATAATTTTTTTGGGTATTTAGAGCGGAAACTCCGAGCTTGAATCGCTGGGTCATCACTTTGTCGGGGTGTAGAGCAGTGTGGCTGTTGTGGTTGCTGCTAGTCGTCGATGGGCGAGCTGTGCAAAAGTTTGGGTAACTTGTTGTGTGGGAAGCCGATTGGTTGTTGTTGTTGTTGTGGTTGCTGTGGTTTAGTTGGCTCATGTTGATTGGTTGATGGTTGTCGTTGTTCATCAGCTGGTTCATGCTGATTGGATGGTTGGTCGATAGATTCAGCTGCGACGACGTTGACAGCAATAGATTTTGTTTTGATGAAAAATCTTTGTTGTGTTGTTGTTGTTGGTGGTGTTGTTGTTGTTGTGACTGAGGTGGTTTTTTAGAATTTGCAAGCGTGTTGTTGTGATTTGAATGGCTGTTTCTGTTTGAATTCGGTAAATAACCATTAGCGTGTTGGGAGATTGGCCTGGCCGACTGCTGGTGCGTTTGATGCTGCTGTTTTTGACGTTGTTGTAGCTCAACAAAATGGTCAACACTGTCACAATCTTCCTGACCGCTATCGGCTCCTCGATGTCGTAACTTTTGAATTTCATTCAGAAGAAAGAACTGGTGAGATGGTGAGGTGATACCGCAAGAGGTGAGGAGGGCTGGGTCTTCCAGCTGAAGGATGGCGGGAAGGTTCGTGTACCCCTTTGACTGCAAGAGGCCCCAGTACATGGCCAGGTATGGATACTCACTGACCACGGTGTTGCATTGCTGGGGTCCAACTGGCGGTAGTCCCACGTTGTTGTTGTTCGGAATTTTCGCTATCGAAGTTGTTGTGTGCTGTTGCAAGCTGTTGTCAAATGTTATGCCCAGGTTTGAGTTGTTGCTGTTTGAGGTGGTTGTGAGAGTGTGGTAAGATGATAAAAGATCATGATTAAAATTTAAATGAACTTCTCTTAAATGTTATTTTATTTGAAAAACAAAACTGTTTAAAATAAATTCACATCAAATAGAAAAAAAAGCTAAATTACGTGTCTAATTTTCAGTAATTATTTAAATAATCAAATAATCACAAAAGTGATAGATAGTGATGACAACTAAACGAAAAAACATTTAACAACAGCCAACAACAACAACAACAAAACAACAACACACGTTTAGACGACATTTTCTCCGAGATCGGGGGTTGCCGTTTGGCTACCTATGACGAAACCGAAATACCCCTCGACGCCATTCCATCATAAGTAATTTATTTGGCTAATTTTTACGCAGGACGCCCTTCCTTACGCAACCACAGTTATAAGCGGTGGGCCTAGCCTTTGATGATCCAACATCACTCACAAGGCAGTGAGGGTCAGTTTAATGTCATAACCAGGACATATGTCATAACCAGGACATAACAGCCAGCAACAACAAACAGAAACTTACTTCAGAGCAGTAACAGAGTTATGGAGAACTTGATTACGCGATGGTTCGACTGAAAAGATTTGTTCAAGTAGAGTTTCAATGACTCGCTTAATGTTGTTAAAGTCAGGCCTTGTGTTCTTGTCCAGTCTCCAACATTGCAACATCAGCTGGTACATTGCTGGTGGACAGTCGTCCTGTGTGTTTGTGTGTATGTTTGTAAGTTTGTGTTTGTGTGTGTTTGTGTGTGAAAGTAAGTGTACGTGTGTGGGTGAGGGAGAATATAACTGGGTCGTATGTGTTTCTATTTGCACCTGTGTTCAGGCGAACACAGGTGCAAATCTATATTTAGCATTGTTTACTTGGTTCACGAATTGCTGTTTACGTTGTTTTTTCCATTCTCTATTAGTATTTTTGAATGTTAATTTCAAGAAAGTAACTAATATATCAATAATCAGCCAATTGAACAGCCGACAACTCGACCGACTAATCAATATAGACCGACTGATCAATAGACCGACTGACGACCGACTGACGACCGACTGACGACCGACTGAAGACCGAACCAACCGACGGATCAGAGAGACACATTCCACTGGTGACAGCCTTGACCACTTCATCGTCCATCCAGCCACAGTAGGGATCTTCACCTCTGGACATCATCTGCCAGATGACAACACCGAACATCCACACATCTGATTTGCAACTGGTTCGCTCTTTGCACAGTACCTCGGGTGCCATCCATCTTATCAGATCTTCCGGAACCTATTATTGTGTATGTATGTTTGTTCGTGTTCATTTGTTGTTGTGTTTGTTGTCCTGTTCGTCAGTGTTGTTTGTTGTGATTTGTCGGTGTGATATTAATTTTAGTAACTGCGAAAATTCCCAAAAATCTCACAAAATTTTGGAAACTTGTGTCCAGTATATCGAAGGTGCTGTCAGGCGTGCAAATGCATTGAAAGGAACCGATCTTACATCTCAAACTCGAGTTCACGAATATATTGCTCGTCGTTAAGATCTGAAAAATTTTGAAACTCTTAACCCTACGTTAAATCACAAAATGTTGTACAAACTCAAGCCAAAATGAATGAAATATTAAAATAACTTTTTGGCAACTTTAAAAAATTAATTTTATTTTTGTATTTTCCAGAGAACATTGCAAGGAAAAGATTAAATAACTATTTTTATGTAAGTTAATTAAATTGTTTAATTGAAAAGTTTTAGCTTTAGGTACAGTAATGCGATAAAATAGAATAATATAGTTTTTATAAATTTCATATGTAAGTAAAAAAGTGAATAAATAACTTCAAAACTTTTTTTTCAATTACATTAATATTAAGCATAACTAGCTAATTAACATAATTAATTCAGCATAATTAATTAGATGCTAATTATATGAGTAAAACAACTGTTGGTACCTGGTGTATGATGCCTCTCTCGTGCAAGTAGCTCATACCACTGACGATGTCCTGCGACATGTTCACCAGTCGATGCAATGTTAGATCTATAGGCGAGGTCTTTTTCTGATAAATTTGTAATAATTTGGTTCAATATTATTTACTTTATTAAAAT